CATATTCAATTAACACCAAAAACGGTTCTGAAAAGAAATAGCTTTAGCTTACAAAGTTTCCGTTAAATTTTCATTTTCTACGCTACTATCACCAGTAGTTCAAACGCCTCAGAAGTTATTCAGTTATGGCCTGTAAAAATCTGATGTTTTAATAATATAAAGATTATTTTATAATTTAGGATAATCTAGGACTGAATAAAAGTATAAATGTTTCTGGATGAAGTATTCTTTGCGTCTATCCCATGATCCCATGACCCCCGACCCCGCATTTTCGGTTCCAGTCCTCACAGTTGATGGTCGCAGTTCAAATATGGACACTGCATTAACAGAACTTATTTAACGCAGATAATAGTGCTATTTAAAATAAGAAACCGACCTTATCTTAAAAAAAACTTAACATGGAAAACAGACTTTATCAGTTTGGGTACGAAACGACCGAGCTGAGTAGGAAAAGAATCAACTGCCTGAGTACGACACGACTGGTGGTTGAATCATCGTTGGCTCACCGGATTCCATAACGCATCCCAGAAGTTTGATAACGTGAGGATGTGGTTTCAGTTGCTTCATTGTTTCCAGTTCTTTCATAAGATCTCTTTTGTCAGACTCGGAAGCGTTAGCTGAAATAAATCAAACCGGTTCCAAAAAATTAATTTACCTCCACTGCTCATTTCCAAAATGTACATGTAACTTAAAAGCACACGGGGTAAAAGTTATTCCCAAACTAGAACCGAGGTAAACTTCAACTAGGAGATGGAAGGATGAAGTAAACGCCTAGGTATGTTTTGTACGAGATAAAAAGAAAAAGGTCCGAATCAATCTCAACGAATTAAAAAAATTTAGTGTACCCATCTTACATTTGAGCATTTTAATAGCAACTGTAGTCAAGCCAGGCCTCCCTCGGAGTTCTACAACTTTTCCCTTGGCAACCTGACCAAAAGCACCTTTACCAACGATTTTATCTATTGTCACGTGATCTCTCGGAACTTCCCATAAACGTGTTGATGGGTGAAGAGGCGCGTAATCGCCAATTTGGCTTACAGTCGGCATTGTGGTTTTATCTGCGCTGGCTTGTCGTAAATCCATATATTCTGAATGAGGCTGAATAAAATGACTTGAATCAGGGCAGCTAGGCTCGAGTTCTTTCAGAGCAAATTCGTTCTGAAAAATTAACGATACAATAGCTTTATTATATTGCTCCGGAATGGATAAATTAGTCTACACGGTTTTATTTCAACCCACATTTCAACGTTCGCCATGAAAATTAAGATTTGTCAAACTAAAATGGTCCATGTCGAAGTCTTGTTGAACTAGTTTTTCCAAAGAAGGCATTTTCTTACTCAAGTAAAACCACCTTGTGTATTAGGAAAGTCCACCGATTAATTAAAATATGAAATTGAAGTGTACACAGAATTTCCCTTACATCATATACTCCTCCGTCGTCTTCGTTTGTTCTAAAAATGTTGACAAAAACAGAGTTACTGTCTTCATCCTTCTGAATTTTCCTCGCTTTACTCTCTTTCTAAATATACATGTATCTTGCCTAGTGACAAATGAAATTATATTATTGTCTTCACTCGGTATCTTTGTCAGTTGAATTACAATATTATCATTTGTTGCCTTAACGTACTTTGTGATTATTGATTTTAAGCCATTCCTCTTATGGTCAGCATGGAAATCTTCTTAAACCATACTAGAAATGCAGGAAAATCTAACGAAGTGCAGAGCCTCGCCTCTGGTCGTGTTTAAGTTATTTTTAATTTAAGGATTGTGAAAGTTATCTTTATGTTATCATGAATTTTAACAAGTTTTACATTATACACGTAGCGACCCTCTGTATCATCGGAACTCGTTAGTTCACCATCCCAACAGAACAAAATCTCACCTTGGTTTCCTAGCAGTTTCTATCGAAGAGAAAAATAGGAAGATTATCAAGACACACAATATTAAAGCAGATATGTGAAGATAATACTTCAAGAAAAACAAAAATAATTTACCTCTTTTGTGTAGCCATACCACATAGATGATAAAAATAAAAATGATGAGAAGAAGTACTCCGATTATGGATCCAAGTAACACATCTTTGCAAGAGCAGACACAAGTTTTAATATCTGTAAAAAATAAAAGCAATGATTAACAAGGAAATCACATTATTTTACGCCGCATTTTATTACTTTCAAAGAAAAGAATGTGAGTTATCTTTACCAATGCTAAAATATTACACAGTTCGCACAACCCCTTAGGAAAGCGAAAACTCAAACTATTTCTTTACAGGGATTCCAATGATAGTCTACAAATGTTCCCATAATCGAACCGAGTAAACATCCAATTTTGACAGAAGAGTAGGTTTTCTACGAACAGAAAATTACACCTTAGTAAGCGAAATTACAATGCACAAGAAATACAATAAAACTTACCGACTGTTTCGAGTTAAGATTGACTGACAACAACAACAATTTTAGGTAATAAAATATGCCAATGCAAACACGACTAGTTCATTTTCGACAAAGACATGGTCCATATCCCGGATGTTGACGTAAAAATGTAGGCACTCAATGGGAGCTACATAAAACTTTGTCATTCTTTCACATATCCATAATCTGTATTTATGAATAGTTCAATATTTGTAGGACACTCATCTCATACATAGCGTTTTTTTCTTGAAACATTCTGCTATGAAACTCTTATCCAGCAATTATTTTTTTTAATGAGGCTTCGAATTAAAACACCGTAGTAAATTAAGGAAGAATTTCTGATTCCCCAGGAAGTGCAATCGATTGTCGTACCGATTGATCGATTTGATAAATCAAAGGCAGGACTTACCAGAAATAGCTGATGGCTTTTAACCAATTACATTAGGAAGTGTGTTCATATAGCATACTGTCATAAACGGCACAGTGATGATTCATGTCACAGTTATCAAATTTGAGGCCAAATTATACTGCAATTAATTTTACAAATAGTATATATCTCATTTTCATGAAAAGCCTAGTACATGTACCCGTTGGCTCTTTATTGGTACCGGTAGGTAACTCGGAAGGAATTTCATCATCAGGAATCACTCGTATTGATTCTGGATCAACAGAAAAGTCTCCAAAGCTTTTGACTCCAGGTACAGCAGCGTTGTTTAGAACTGATAGAACTTCATTAATATCAACATTACGACTGAATTCCAGAGAAAAATAGACAGTAAGGCTACCGCACCTGGGGAAAACAACAAACCGCGGATGTACACTTCGTTCATGAGCCTGGGGCAAAGTGTAATACCGAAAAAACTATTTGTTAAGATATACAACTGAAAATGATAATTTTTTACGAACCGGGCGCTATGGTCGTACTGCGGAATATTGGCCTATGGTCGTTGCAGTACGCCTCGAGAAAACGAAGTTAGTAAGTAGTCTGTAACATGGCACTCTGACAAAACTTGTTTATTTTGAATTTGCCGGCTTTCGCGAAGAAAGACGGTTATGACTGTTTCCGTGGAAACTTTGCGCATGACAAAATCCCTACAAAAATCATAAGAACCAATCGATACACTTGGAATTACCCCGGGACTACCTTGCCATATAATAATTTGTATTGTTATATACCTAGACTTTCACCAACAAAACGAGCACTCATGCAGTTGAAAAAAGAAACAAAAACAAAAAACAAGAAGATGAGAGGACATGCATCATACTTGTAGCTTTTAACTTCTATTGCCTTCAATTCCGATACATCCTTTTCAAGCACGTCACCTACCTATTGAGGAAACAATATATATATATCCAAAACAACGAATGCCAATGCTTGCACTAAAAGAGATACCTACAATTCAGCCAAATCTTTAACCTAAACTTTGACTTTTGAGAACGATGATTTAGAAGGCGTACTACTAAAACTAAAATATTTTTACCGAACTTATCCCGCAGATGTATCATAAAACATACCTGTCAACAATGACCATTCCCAGCCTCTCAAGTGCTTTTATTAATGAACATCGACAGGAAAACTAATGTTTTTTGAATGGTTAAAGCTATCGTGCTCTTTTTACGAAATCCCTATTTTTCATCGACACATACACTAGAACTGTTGATTTCCAAAGCAAAGGGATCCAACATTGCAAATTCTTCTTCGAGGTGCCCTATTGCTTGTTACCATAATTTTTTTACTTACTTTAGACGGTAATTGTTGAAGGGTTTCTTGAAGGTTGTTGTTACAATCTCTATTTGTGACTGTTAACTTGAGGCTAAATTTGGCGTCATTTACAACTTGAAGAAAACAAGGTAAAAATAACATTAGTTTCTAAACGTTACACTGATAAAAAGTAAAGACTGTAAAGGCCAAAAAGGCAACCACAGTTTTCTTAAGACATAAGAAATTGACGAACACGAAAAAGCCATGTCGTATAGTTTTGAGGACCACTAGAAACCACCTTTGTGAGTGGGTACCCTCATTCAATGTTATTGTTATCATGCTTAAAAATTTATAATTATAACTATTATTATTACAATCAATGCTTCTCATTAATTGAATTCGAGGTCTGCACTGTGAGTTGCACACCGAGCCTTTTTTTTCCGCTGGGATCTATGGCCCAAGCGCAAGCTATGTGTGGGTAACGATTTAAATTCAAACAAAGTTTTAAATTCGGTGGACCGAACAGTAAATACGGTCCGCTAAATCGATCAATCATACAGCATGAACTAACAGAGAGCTTTGATCTTATGTACCAGCAGAGAGATATAGCAACTATAACAATGGCCTTTTTTTGCAAAACTTCGTAGGCACGGGGCTGCTCCCTAACCTTTTTTGACTTCTTTAAAAATGAAATGTCCGGTTTCTGTTCTCGATTCCCAGATATCAATGACTATTCTGACCTCAATGAAATCAAATGGGAAGGAAGAGAAGTTTAAGAAGGAGAAGAAGACAGTGGATACTTCCATGTAGCACTGCCTCAATTCTGAGAATTAAAATAATTGCCTTGTGTTACAAAACAAAATTTTGGCAGCAGACATTGCATTGTCTGTTCATCTAGAAAATATCAGACAAAAAGATAATCAAGTTTACTTACCAAGACGAAACCATTTGAAAGCTGCATTCATTTTATTTTCAACGGTGCAGAGATACCAACCAGAGCTGTAGGCTTTTACCACAAAGGTCACGTTCCTGGGATCATTGACAGATTTCCAATCGATGACACCATCTCTCATTGTCCAGGTAATCGTTGGTGTAGGATTACCGTCTCCAAGACACAAAAAGCTGACGATCTCACCACTTTTCATGTTAAATGTTTCAATTCCTGGATTTGTAATCACTGCTGGATCTGAAATTGAAAAAAAAATGGATCTCTTCTTTCCCTAACTATGTTTGGAATATTCCTTTTATACGAAGCGTGTGTAAAAAAAGTGCCTTAAAGGACATAGTTGGCGGCTATGTTTTTTCCCATTTAAAAATCGAAATATTAGTTGGTATATTAGGTACATATAAACGTCGACATAAAGAATTCGAGAAAAATTCGAGGGCTTTTCGGCCTTACCGCGTGAGATTGTTCTAAAACGGTCTTTTAAGTTTAGGAGGGATAAAAAATGAGTCACTATTTAATACCCCAGCATAAACACTTTCTACATCCTGTGTGTATCAAATTTCCGCATGCTGTGATCCAAATTTTTCTTCCTCAACAACCCACATTTCAGTGTTTTCATCCTGCTTGCAATTGAAAACAAACCTCGTATATATAAGTACATTTTTTTCTCGAAACGGTATACATCAGAATTGGCTTGCGTTTAGAGAATAGGATTAGGATCTAGGGTTTGGTGACCGCAAGTATACGTATGTTTAATCAGCGGGTGCAGCAGTGAATGCGCTTGATTGTATAGCTAATCCCTTGATTTCGAGTGCGACTTGGGAAAAATCAGCGCAAGTAAATTTTTAAAGGCTAACCAAGTTGTACAAGCCCGTAGAGCGAGTGCAATTTGTGTTGTTTTTGAATTTGTTGTATAGTTCATTGGTGAACTATACAATAATATTGCCTTCGTGTTGTTTCTGGAGTCGTCGGGGTTTTCCCGCAAGAATTTTTTTCGAGCTTTTAAAGCTTCTTTTTCGAATAAATGAGTGTTTGCACTCTTTCTCACTAGCTCAATAATAGTAACCAGTACGCAAAGGCTATTACGCTCGTAATTTAATCCCCGTCTTTCGTACGAACGGTTGCGTAAACTCCAAGATAATACGTTTCAGTGCTGTTGTCATAGCCGTTATTGGAAGCCCAAGACTTCACGAGTTTAAGCCAGTTGTTTGTGCATTGTTTGGTGTTTTTGCTCTGGATTAAAGCTTTGTTACTTTCTCCTAGCCTGTCCGCCATTTTATTTTGTTGTGCTGTCGCGACTCTCCTGTCAATCAGTATAATTTTGACTTTCTGGACTAAATTTTAACTTTCTGCACTGTTTGAGATAAACTGACGTGTCCTCAACTAATGAGCATACTGAAACTTTTGCATGCAGGATACATGTTGCACAAAAGTTGGATGAATTCAGAGGACGCCAAAAAACCGTCACAGTACACCTAATAGAAGAATACTTACAGACAACAGTAACGTAAACTGTAGCCGTAGCAGGTGTACCCACTCCATTACTGGCTGTACATTGATACTGGATCATGCTGTCTGCTGTCCCCGGTCTGCTCACATTCACAATAGTTAGTGATGGTGAAACAGAGAGAACATTGGAACTACCAATTCTTGTCCATGATATGCTCGGTTCAGGTTCACCAGATGCATTACATGTCAATAACAACTTATTGCCCTCAACAATGGTAACCTTCTCTGGTGAAACTGACACCAATGGAGCATCTGAAAGATAGT